CAAATTACCTTATTCTAACATTATCATTATTCTTACTGCTCTGATTCATCAACTAGTGCTAGTCAATAACATTTTCATAAGCTAAATTTCTCTAAATTTCAGAACAGTATTGTTGTTTACAACTTATTTCCACAGTATCATAATTACTTCATGCTTGATAGACTTTCAATATTTACTTAGGATTAGCAAGACCAAACCTAACAAAACTTACAGTTTTAAGATGATTTTAAAAAACCATGTATGTCCCCTGTCCTTTCAAAAATTACCCCTAATTACCCCCAAAATAACAAGGAGACCAGGAAATGTACGTAAATTCTACCTTTCATGGACCTATAACATCTGAAGGCAGAAGATGGAGGGAGGATGGCTAACTTAGCAGAGAGGAGAACCCAAGTGCCCTCAAGAGTGAATGGCATGAAGGAAGGAGTGCACATGAGTAACAGTGCATTTCCAGAACCTGTTAAGACTCAAGAACTGGAGGCTTCAGATATCACAGAAGGGGTGAGGAGGAATGAGGAAGTGATAAACACAGTGAGTGTCCAAGTCTCCATTCCCTCCCCATGTCATCAGAAGGTTACTCTTCCCCTCCACCTCTGCAGTAACTAGAGTATTTGCTGGAGAAACTGAACTCCAAACTTGAGGACATCAGCAGAAGTAAAGTTAGAATAAAGTGCACACGGAAAATGAGAGGACTACGTGAAAGCCTACATTCTCCCAGGTGAGAAAGCCACAGTTCTCTTCTCTCAGGATGCCAACACATTATGCCATTTCCATTCAGGAGATTGGAAAGTCTAGAGAAAATGAGTTTAGAAACTGACATTTTAGGATCTCCAGCAAAAGACCAGTTGGCCACCCAGTCACCCTGTGGTAAGGCCCGGCAATCTGCAGGAACCACCCACATATACGGGTAAATGGTGAGCTTTGTAATGCTTTACTCTTAAATATGAATAGACCACCAAAGATTGCCAGACATTTGAAGGAAACTACCAAACAGACAAAAGGAGTTAAAACAAAACAAACAAACAAAAAAAACAGGCAACACAAGGAGCAAAAAAAAAAATTCAGAAGAATTATAATTAGTATCTTCAGAAAGACAGGAAATGCATCCATGGAAGAAGAACAGCATACTGTTAGGAAAAGAGAAAACAAGGAATTGCTTATACATTAATAATATTGTGGACAGGCACAGTGGCTCACACCTGTAACCTCATCACTTTGGGACACTGAAGAGGGCAGACTGCTTGAGCTCAGGAGTTCAAGATCAGCCTGGGCAACATAGCGAGACTCATCTCTATAAAAAAAGAATTATAAATTACCCAGGTATGGTGGTGTGCACCTGTAGTCCCAGCTACTCAGGAGGCTGAAGCAGGAGGGTCACCTAGACTCAGGTCGAGGTTGCAGTGAGTGGTGATCATGCCACTGCACTCCAGCCTAGGCAACAAAGTGAGACCCTGACACACACACACACACACACACACACACACACACACACACACTCAGTCTCTCTCTCTCTCCATCATATATATAACTCCTGGAAAGTAAAAGGAAAGCATATATGGGAACTTTATAGGAAATGGGGAAGAAGAGATAAGGAAATCAATATAAGAAGTCCAATATCCAACCAACTGAAGTTTCATGCAAATAGGGCAGAAAACATATTGAAGAGAAAATTATCCAAAAAGATGGGGGGAAGAGAGAATAGAAGAACTAAAGAAGATGAGCCTCCAACCTAGGTTTACCATACAAATTTTTTTTTTCCTTGAGTTGGAGCCTCACTCTGTCACCCAGACTGGAGTGCAGTGGCCGCTCCCAGCCACCGCAGCCTCAACCTGCTGGGCTCCGGCAATCCTTCTGCCTCAACCTTCCAAGTAACTGCAACTACAGGCGCGCGCTACCATGCCCGGTTAATTTTTTGATTTATTGTAGAGATGAGAGCTCACCAAGTTGCCCAGGTGGGTCTCGAACCCGCGGGCTCAGGCAATCCACTCATCTCAACCTCCCAAGGCGCGGGATTACAGGCTGAGCCACCGAGCCCAGTTACCATACAAATTGAATGAAAAAAGAAATCTCAAACTAATGCACTTCTTTGTGAAACTGCTGAACACCAGGGATAGAGCAAAGATTCTAAAGGAAAGAAACTCAGGTAACATTCAAAGTATCAGGACAAAAATGGTATATTCTTCTCAAAAGCACCTTTGGAAGCTGGAACACAATAGAGCAGGCCTTCAAAATTCTGAGTGGAAATATTTCAACCTAGAATTGTTAGGTGTGCTAACAATGAGTATGAGAATAGAATAAAGATCTTTTCATCATGCAAAGCCTCAAAAACAATGAACTCCTCCAGTATTAAAATATTAACACCCTTTCTCATGAAGCTCCTGGTAGAGATGTTCCTGCAAAATGAGGGAGTGAGAAAAAGAAAGAGGTGGGGTGCAAGAGGTAGGAGATCTGCCCCAGGAGAGGCAAGGGGAACCTCCTAAATGATGGTAAGGGAAGCTCTGAGGACAGCTGGCAACAGACCAGAGAATCCAGACCAAACAGCAGGATCCGGCCACAGGAGGATATGAAGGATCTGAAAACAAGCTGTGACAGTTTGGCTCTCTTCAGAATCATTTTGAGAGGCATTTTACAGAGTTATGTAGGATGTGAGAAGGCTTAGATGTTTCCAAAAAATCCTAGATGAAAAATCACCCATTGGGTACAAGGTACACAGGCAGGGGTGGTGGGTACACTTAAAACTCAGGTCAAAAACCATTTGTACACCCTAAAACTATTGAAATAAAGAATTAAATAATTTTTTAAAGAAATCCTAACTCCAGGAGATGAAAAAAATGTACATAAGAAATGAAACAGTCACGCCGGGAAGTGGCTCACGCCTATAATCCCAGCACTTTGGGAGGCCGAGGTGAGAGGACTGCCTGAGCCCACAGGTTCAAAACCAGCCTGTGCAATTTGGCGAGACCTCATCTCTACAATAAATCAAAAAATTAGCCAGGCATGGTGGCGTGTGCCTGTAGTTCTAGCTACTTGGAAGGCTGAGGCTGAAGGATCTCCTGAGCAGGTCAAGGATATGGTGGCCAGGAGCATACCTAGTGCCCTCCAGTCTGGGTGACAGAGTGAGACTCCAACTAAAAAAAAAGAAAGGTGGGTGGTAATCAGGAAAGCTCTGGGTTACCGTAGGAGTGAGGGGAGAGTGTAGGTGAAGGTGAACTCTCACCTGCTGCTAGTCATCATCAGTGTTTAGGGGCAGACATTGTGGAAAGTATGGTGGCTGCTTGCCTCTGCTGTGTACTAGCTCAGAGACCTCAGGCATGTATGTGACTTGTCCTCTCTGTGACTCAGTTTTCTCATGTATAACAGGAGATAATAATAGTTCCCACCTGACAGGACTGTTACGAGAATTACATAAGTTAAACAGTTGTAAAGCTCTTAGGACACTGTATGGTACATAGGAAAGACAATATGAGTACTTGGTTATTCATCAAGTGCTAATACTATATGCATACTATATGGAAATATGGTGGAAAAACTACCAAATTATGTAAAAAATAAAATAGAAAGTGGTTGCCTTTGGCAATCAAGAAAGGAGAAGGATAAGGGACTACTGATTTTTTATTCTAAGTTTCTTTGTATAATTTGAATTTTTAAAAAATTATTGCAGATATTTTAAGCAAAATAAGATTAACTTAGAAAACAAACCAACAGAATAAAATTTTAAAAAACAACAGCAGCCAATTGCAAATTTTCAAATGAAGAACTACAAACAAGCTTTGATATGGACTATTTCATATTTCTAATTTATTAACATTTTCATATGCTATGCAAGTGAAGTTATATGTAATTCTAAATGTCACAGTGGACCCGAGTCAATTTCTTAACATAAAATTGTCAATACAGGAAAATGTTATTTAGTTATTTCTGCAACAGACATATAACTGAGTTAAAAAAACAAAGTTTTCATTACTCTAACAGAAGTGTCTTACACATATGAGCCAGTGGCACTAGATTCGGGGAAAAAAACACGCATGAAAAGTGAACCAATTTGAACCTTAACTCTCCCCTTCTCCTGCCCTCTGATAAACATTTTAATAAGTAATGAAATGGGAGACTCACACAGTACAAGGGGGTGGGGGAGACATAAAGGCCGTGGATCAAGAAAACGCATAGGCCTGCTTTCCCAGAGGTACACTTCCTCTTCCAAACTACTGAAAGGGGCAGCAGGAACCAAAGAAGCATTGCTGCTCTCAGTTACATAATTATATCAAGCTGCTTCCAGAAGAAATCATCTCAGCGACGCATTTCACAAACAAGATACCACAGGAAAAGGAAAAAAAGATTTCAAATAATAGATAACTCTACTTGATCCTCTGAGTTGCCTCATCCTCTGCTGGATTCTAGTCTAAGACATGTACTGCCTTATTATATGTATGGATTTAATGTGTCCACAAACCTAATATGAATTAAGGAATTTACAAGATAGCTTCTAGAATGTCATTGTGCCACAATTTCAGTACATCAAAGTTGTTCCTATCAATATGTTTTTAAGTCGGTTGTTTTCCTTTGGCCTGCTCCTGTTTGAGTTGTACCTGGTGGCTATAGCATTCAGTTCGAAATCTCAACCCTCTTCTGTCTCCCTACCACCAAACCCGATGTTCATCATTAAAATGTAAAATAACAAAACACATTTTGCTCTAGACCTTTGCCAAACTGTCACTGTATCTGGATAGTACAGCCTCCTCTCTAAAAAGGGAACAAAATAGTCTGAACTTTGTCCTAGTGTGGCAGCATGGGCCGCTGTGACAGCAAGCTAATTCATCACTGTGGGAATCTTCAACTGTGCAAGTGACCACCCAACTTACTGTCGTCTGAGGGGGTGGCAGTTAATCATCTTCTTAAATGATGTGGGTATGAAAACAGAGCTGATTGTCACTCAGCACACTAACCTTATCCATCCTCCATGCCCCCAGCAGTGACTCTTGCCATCTCCCTCTTCTTCCCAGACCGCTGGGTTTCAAGAGATTCTGACCGAGGTGGAAATTTTAGCGGTGATAGTGGGATGCCTGTGTCACGACCTCGACCACAGGGGAACAAACAATGCCTTCCAAGCAAAGTAAGTGTTCTAATTGTTGTTATTTTAATGCATTTGGCTTTCTGTTCGGAGCCAAAGGTGACGAATGCTAAAGAGTAAAGCATTAATTTCTGGCATCTGAGGCCAAGGCCACGCAGGCTTGGGCGTGCATGTCAGGGGCCCATCCATCTTTATAATTCCCTATTCTTCTTTTAATTGCAAATTTGCCCTTCATGTCACGCTTGTTGATTTGGTTGGTCTCTGTTGACCTCAGTCAGATAACAAAGCTCAGATTTTAAAGGGCCTACATTTTCTTCCCAGAATATTTGCCTTTCTGGCATTATAAGCTTCTTGGATCTGCTACTCTCAAAGTCTGGTTTGAGACTATTGAAATAAAAACAGTATTAGATAATTTTATGAAACAAAATATCTTTTTTTCTTCTCCAAAATAGTCTGTTCCAGGACTCTTTTGATGTTGGGTATTACGTAAACTGCAGGGAGATAAAGCCACACCTAAGGAGTGTAGTCTTTGTTCCTTTCGCCCCTACTCCCATAGAAAGGTGCAAACAAATAAGGGATTATGTAAATATAGGGATGTGTGGGCAGCTATAATGTGCATGGATGGAATAATCTGTCCCTGAGCAAGCTGTACTGGTCAAGATAGCCATTGCTTGGTGACTCACACCGTGGTCATGGCCACAGAATTTATGGGTACTGGAAATAAGACCAAAACCCAGGTCTCCTGACTCTTATCCTGAGGGTCTATTTTAATGTTCTGTTCACTCTCTGTCTGCAAAAAAAATGATACAGGAGTTCAGAGGCTGGAGAGAAACGTTTTGGGGTAAAGTCAGGGAAGGCTTCAACAAAGAGGTGAGATTAACTTTCAGTGACTGATTTCGATGCCCCCAGAATAAATTGACCTCTATTATCTGAAACTTCAACAGTCTACTCTGTGTCAATAGGCTCCTTTCAGTCACCATTCTTTTTGTTCCCCAAATACCTACCCATTGAGACCTTGGAATCCTGGGCCCTTGCATTTGCTCCTGATCCAGCAGATGAATTTTGATGCTGTGTCTTCTATCTACTCTTACCCTGTAGCCCGTCACTTCAGTACTCTCTTCTCTATACTGTATAACTTCTTGACCCTCTTAAGTTTCTGTGACATCCACTCTGCAAAAAGTCAGTCCTAGTTCAATATAACAATTCAGTTAATAGCTGTCCTGCCTGAACTTGTAAGGCTTTGAGAGAAAATATAACAGTTGTGAGAGTTTGAGACATACCAGACAGCTACTCTCCCAACTCAGCTGATGCTGGAAACTCCCCACCAATCCCTCTGGGTCCCCGGCCAGCTGGGTCCCCACTGCTCTTAGTGATTTCCTATACCAAGCTTCTCTCTCCCCAAACCACCTCCTGCTCCACCACTGCCTCTGCACCACTCAGCAGATCACCTTGCCTCCTACTTCATCGAGAAAATTGAGACCATCAATCGAGAACTCTCTCAATTTCCTTCCCTGCCACCTACAAACTTATCTACCCGTCCCATCCTTCCCTCCTTCCCTCCTATCTTGGTAAAAGGCTGCCCTTCTCTTGTCAGAGGCTAATCCCTCCACCTCTGCTGTGGTTCCCTTCCTTGCCTCTCCTTGGGGTCCTTACCCCATCAATCTTCCTCTCTCCCCTGTGTCTACTGTCCCCTTTCTGCTGACTCTCTGCATGCTATTAATGGAAACCGTTTTCCCTCATTTTGAACAAAGCCCACCCTAATCCCCACCTCTCTCTCTAGCTTCAGTTCTATTTCTCCTCTTTCCTTCCCAGTCAAGCTTCTTGGAAAGCTGTCCAGGTTCATTGCCTTCACTTGCCCCAACCCCAGACCTCCCACATGGCTTCCAGTTCCACCTCACCTGAGGAGCCACCTTCAGTAATGTCCCCCACGAACCCCTTTTCCCAAAACTGTTGGACCTGCTTAGCATTCTTTTTAAATCCTTCTCACCATGAGACAGATTTTGGCACTCCCTCCTTCCTGAAACTCTCTCTTCCTTGGTCTCACAGAACAAGGATTTTCATGCCCCTAACAGCCTTTCTTCTCAATTGGCTGCAGGCCTCTCTCCCCTGCCCAGGTCTTCACTGGTGATGCTCCCTCCTGTTCCTCTTCTGCTCTTCATGATTCTTCATGCAGGGCCTCCACTCATCTGCTGATGAGCCCACATCCATTTCTTGGAACCATATTCTCAGGTTACCTCCAGGCACGTGTTCCACTACTTGAGGGGCACCTCCTATTTGAAGTCCTACGGTCACCTCAATCTCAGTCTTTCCCTTCATGCATGTCCTTCTTTCTCTTATTCTCTCTCCCAGTGAGTGGCACCACCAGGATTTGGCCAGTCACCCACACTCCCTCCACTGTAGCCCCTCCTCTGCATTCTTATAATAACTCTGCTTCTTCACATCTCTCCTGGATTGCTGCAACAACATCCCAGCTCTCCTTCACCAGTCTACTGGGCACTCCAGAATCATCTTTCTAATTCACAGAGCTGACCAGGTCACTCCCCTGCTTAAAAGCCATCCATGCCTCCTATGGCTTATAGAATAATATTCAAACTCCCCAGTTTGGCCCCTTAAGGCTCTTTTCATTCAGACTCCTGCCCATTTCCCTGGTCCAGTCCAACTTGTGCCAGCCCACCCCGCCCACATCTCTATGTCCAGACACAAAGGACCATATGAAGCACTAGTGGGATCCTGCCAGTTCACATCTCTCTGCTGCCCATAGGCTGTTTCCTCTGGAATGCCCTTCCTCTCCCTCTTTTCCCAAAACTCCTCCGAAAGCATCCCTCCCAGGGTTCTTTCCCTGATGCACCGTCCCCTTGTCAATTTTCTCTGCCCACATGATACCTTAGCTATGCCTTTTCCAAAGGGTGCATCTCATTCGATATTAGTTGCTGACTTGCAGATGTGTCTCCCTTCTTTGCAACCTGCAACAGTGGGCAACAGTGCCAGGAGCATAACAAACACTCAATAAATGTTTGCTGAGTGAATGAATGATAACTGCATGAATGGATGAGATGTTATTTTAGCTATAGCTCTTCAATAAAATGTCCTGATTTATTCAACAGGTGTAACTTTTTCTATATTATTATAAAACATAGTTTTTATATATGTAGATTTGATGTTGCCCTAAAGACCTGGAGCCCACAGAGGTGTAAACTGTGTGCGCTTTCGTTGTAGGCTCTGAGTGTTCCTGCGCTGCATTATTTTTTAATTTCTCTCTCCTCCAGGCCAATAGTATTGTCAGTATATCTTCCTCTAGCACCTTCTCTCCAGCCCCCTACCACTGCACCACGTATGCATAAAAAAAGATACATATATTAGAATTGTGTCCAAAAAACAAGAGTGAACACCTTGTAGGCTCTTTCTAAGACTGAAGTACACAGTACTTGTATTCAGATACGAGTGACTCCCCTCCCGAGAGAGAGCGAGTGCCTATGTATCAACTGAAAGAGGCAGCTCAGTGCTAATTGATCCCTCAGAAGCTTGGACCAAAAGATATACGTTTAATCAAACCTGGACCAATCAGAATTTATCTCCCAGGAGTTTAGAGTTGGATTACCATAATATTGAGTCACTTAGCTGCAGGGATTTAGACTTGGGCACTGAGGCTGCCGTTTGGGGAAAGCTATGATGACCACATCCCAAGTGGATGAAAGAAACATGAAAGTCAGTCTACAGAGAAGAATGAAGCTGATACTCAAGAAAAAGCAAAAAGCAGAGACTGTGTAACCCAAAAGAAAGAGAAAAAGCAGACTTGATCCCTGGCTCTCCCCTTCTCTGCTCCTAATTCTAGGAGATCTAGCCACACTTTTGATAATTGGGCTTCTTCAGAGTTCCTGATATCATTGAATTATCCTTCTTAATGAAGGTTGTGCTTAATTTCTTTTCTTTGCAACAAACAGTTCCTGAGACAATGAGAAGAACTACAATTTATTTGTTGTTTACTATGTCTCAAGCCCTCACCAACATCTTGGTAGGGTAGATATTTTGGTCTCCATCTTACAGGAGAAAGTGAAGCTTAGAAAAGTAAGTAAATTGCCCAAATCCATCCATGTGGTAGAGTGGAGTCTGGACCCAGTCTGTCTAATTCTAAAAGCCGTTCTTTAGTTGCTGTCTCATACTCTCTTCCATGACTTTGTGGCATCTATTTTGGGCCTCTGAGCTTCCAGTTTATTTGCTGATTTGCCAGATATGTGAGCCCTGGAAAAATGCAAATATATTTTGACATCCTGAAATTCAAGACATGGAGCCATAAAAATTGTATAACTGAACTAAACCTTGGTGGTTATATTTTCCAATGCCTTAATTTTACAAAAATGGAAACTGAGATCCCCAGACCCCAGGTTGCTTGTATAAGACTGAACAGCTTTTATACATATTAGGGAGCTATTGAGTCATCACTACTAGATTTCCATTATTTATTTATTTATTTTTTGCATCCTCATGTCACCTAATCAAATCTGCCTATTCCATAATGGCATGATGTGTTTTCTCAAGATGATTGATTTTGTATACAATTTACCAGCTCATGGGCTATCCATAGCCCTGCACTCACTTAGTGGTGTCACTTTTGAACTTAGGATACTTAGCCACCACTACTCTCAGTTAAGATTTTTTTGACAATGAATCCTGAGTCTTTTTTTAAATCATGGTGAATGAACTACCTTTGTATTGATTCTAATGCGATTTCTTCAGTGAGTGTGCCATTGTCTTGAAAAACCTCTGTGTTTTCTCTTTTTATTTTCCAATAATTAAGTGCTTTCTATGTTCAAGATGCTGTGCTAGGCATTGTGGGAAAAATAAAGACGTACAGCAAACATCCTTTCCCAGTCTAATTCCAGCCTTTCAAGTGATTTGAAAATGGGATTTAAGTGCACCAATTATTATGTGGCAAAGCATAGGCTACCTTTTTTTTTCCATATATAAGGCTATAAAAAAAAGGAGACATTTAGCAAGGGACAAATTACTGTATAAAATGCAAAATGCCTCTACAATAAAAAATG